AAGACCTTCGAGTTCGACTACGCTCAGCTCCAAGGCACATCATTTGCAGCATAGCTTAAGTATAGAAAGGCTATCTGCCAAAGACCTTCGAGTTCGATTACACTCAGCTTCGAGGGCATATCATTTGCAGCGCAACTTAAGTCTAGAAGGGTTGTCTGCCAACAAAAGACCTTTGAGTTTGATTACACTCAGCTTCGAGGGCACATCATTTACATCATAACTCAAGGCTAGAAGGGTTATCTGTGACCAAAAGATCTTCGAGTTCGACTACGCTCAGCTCCAAGGCATATTATTTGCAGTACAACTTGAATCTAGAAGGGTTGTCTGCCAACCAAAGACCTTCGAGTTCGACTACGCTCAGCTCTAAGGCACATCATTTGCAGTATAGCTTAAGTCGAGAAGGGCTATCTGCCAAAGACCCTCGAGTTCAATTACTCTCAGCTTGGAGGGCACATCATTCACAATATAACTCAAGGCTAGAAGGGTTATCTGTCAACCGAAGACCTCCGAGTTCAATTATATTCAACTTAGAGGCAAATCAAGCTTACATAATAGATCAAGGCAGGAAGGGCTATTTGTCAATAAAATTACCGAGTTCGATTCCATTCAGCTCGATGACACCTCAATCACACTACTGTCCGGCTGTAATCAAGGTTTTCAAGTCAAGGAAAATAACTGGGTTAGCTGTGCCTTAGTGACAAGAAGCCATTTTCTGGCAGCATAGCTTAAGTCGAGAAAAGCTATCTGTCAATAAAGACCTTTCGAGTTCGAGTTCGTTTAGCTCAAGCAACCACATGATGGAGTCAATGAACTACTTTCCAGTCGAATTTCCAACCAGAGTCTTTAAACCGAGGAAAAGACCGAGGCAGACTACAACGAGAAGCCACATCCGATTCAAATCCCGAACTGCGGCTTCAATTCTATATCATTTCAAGGTGGACTCGACTTCACGACGAAGGAGCCATCTGCAACCCAATCCGACAGGAAGTTATTCTTCAACTCCACCGAACGAAAATTTGTGTCTTTTTATCTTTGTCCTATTTTTTGTTCCACGAAAAAGGACAAAGAGGGGCAACTGTAGACACTCATTTTCGCTCGGAGTTATTTTGATTTTTTTTATTATATATATATATATATATATATATATATATAGTCTTTTTTCTCAAAACATTTTTGACAAAGTATAATATATAGTTTTCAGAAAACGGTTTTTCAAATTATATAGTTTTTAAAAGTCATTTTGAAAATATATATAATATATAGTTTTTAAAACATTTTGAAAATTATATATAATATATAGTTTTGAAAACATTTTGAAAATTATAATATATAGTTTTGAAAACATTTTTGAAAATATTTATATTATATAAGACATTTTGAAAATATATATATAGTTTTTAAAAATATTTTTGAAGTTATATATTGTATGTTTTAGAAACGTTTCTGAAAATACGTATATATATAGTTTAAAAAAAGCATTTTGAAAAGTTATATATTATATTTTTGAAAAAAAATTATATAGATTTATTATTTATTTTATTACTATTATTATTATTATTATATTATTATTATTATGTCATATTTATTTATTTATTTATTTTTTCTTTTCTCTCCAGGGTCCATCGTTTTGGTCCAGCAAAAGTCCACTCAGGTTTGGGCCTGACCCAGCCTGTCTAGGTTTAGGGTTTGGGAAACCCTAAAGTGATATCAAGTTAACAATTCAGGCGCCGCATGGAGAACAAGTCACGCGTCAGTCAAACGCCGAAACGGCCGGCCGATTATCCCGGGACTGACCCATCCCGGGATGGTCGATATCACGAACGGCATACACGGGAATAGTGGAACCATCACATCACTCATTTCGGGAGTCAAGCGACCAACACCGGGGCTATAAAAGCCCCCGGTGAGGCCAACAAGGGGGGATCATCAAGAACCATTGAAGACAGTAAACCGAAGAACCATCAACAGTACCCAAAATCTATAGAGATCACCACGGTCAAACAAATCGAAAGCCAAACCACAAAGACCACAACAAACAGCAGTGACCATCTTCGAACCACAATACAATAAAAAAACCAAACAGGAACCCAAAAGTCAAAGCCTCACAGTAAGAAATCGAAAACAAACAAACAAAAATAAAGCATCCCCGGTTGCGAGAAGAACCAAGCACGACAAAAAAAAAACTGAAGAGTTATCGTCGGAAAGGTAAAAGTCGAAGCCTTTCGGCTTAGATCTACTCTAGGTCAGAACGATTTAAGGTAAATGGGCTTCGAATCCGGGGTTACGGGGTTAAGGAAAGCATTTTTTGGGTGTTTAGATTTTTCGGCCGCCGCGAGCGACGGCCGAGACGGTGGTCGACACGACGGAAGGGTCATCGGGCAAGGGCCGGACACCCCCAGGCGAGAGAGCTTCAGAGAGATTTTTTTTCTCTCAAATTCGGAGAAATGAGTGAAATGAGAGAATGAGGGAAAATTAGGGGTTTTAGGCCTTTTATATACGGGGGACTAAGTTGCAATTACAGGAAAGTTAATTCCTTTCCGTGATCCCTGTAAGTTTGAGTCGCAATTCGTTTTAGTCACCACATGCAATTTGGCCGCTGGATTTTCAATTGTTTCAATTTGGTCCTCATTTATATTTTACATATTTTGCAATTTGATCCCTAAATTCTTATTTTATTTTATTTATTTATTATTATCATGTTTTTTAATTATTATTAGTATTTTTTTTACCTCATATGGTTTTCATTTTTACTATTAAACCAATTTTTTATCCATTTAATACTTCTTTATTTTTTTTATTTAATTTTAATTTTATTGTATTTTATTTCTTTGGTATACATATTTTCATTATTATTTTTCCTTCAGTTTATTTTTTTAGTACCATTATTTTTATATATTGTTTTTCTCTGCCTAACATTTTTTTCCTTTTTCAGTAATGATCTCAATTAATCAAAGGTAAGTAATGCGGTTCGAACCGAATTTTTAAATTTCAATTTTAAATTTTAATTTTCGCAACTAAGACAACCGACAAATTAATTGGTACCGAAAGGACGGTTCAAGGGTGCTAATCCTTCCTTGACCGTAATCGACTCCCGAACCCGACACGTTTCTGGTACAACGCAGATCAGGTAAGATGGTGTCCGACCCACCTAAATTCGTTTTAAAGTGGTCGGTGGCGACTCCAATCCATATTTTTCAAGTCGAAGCCCAATTCCGGGGCCCAAAAATATTTTCTTTTCAAAGGGTTTCAAGAAAAATCAGATTGCCCAGGGGGAACAGATTCCCCCCCAGGGGGTACCGATTCCCCTGTCTAACGGTCAAAAACAGATTGCACTTAGGGAACCGATTCCCCATGAGGGGGTACCTATTCCCCCACGCTCCAAGCTGTTTTATTAATTGATTTTCATATCCAAACGTCTCCAAAACATCCCCAACAGCTATATACGACTTCAAACACATTCCAAGCTATAAATACAAGCTAAGGACACTTGAAGAAGTAAGAGAACAACTATCCCATGAGGGGGTACCTATTCCCCCACTCCAAGCTGTTTTATTAATTGATTTTCATATCCAAACGGCTCCAAAACATCCCCAACAGCTATATACGACTTCAAACACATTCCAAGCTATAAATACAAGCTAATGACACTTGAAGAAGTAAGAGAACAACTATCCAAGCAATCAAACACAAGAGAAGAGTTTTTCAATCTTATTTCATCTTTCTCTTGTAAATATTTTGTTCTTGTGAGATCAATCTTGTAAACACCTACCTTAGAGAGGTTTTCTTGTTTACATCTTTTATCATTTTGTAAAGGGGAAATGTTCTAGTTTTGCCCGAAAAAACTAGAGAGTTTGTAAGGTTACTCTTTATCCTCAAAAGAAAGAACAAATTAGTGAATTTGTGGAAAATCCTTGGTGAGGAGCTAAGGTAGTTGATGTAGACTTTGGTTGAGAAAGTCGAACCACTATAAATCGCTGTGCAATTCTCTATATTTCAATCTCCTTACTCCTAAACACAAAACCATTCCGACCCCTCTTTGCAAATTGTTCCGGTTGTCAATTCGAGCTTCCAAATCCTAACAATTGGCATCAGAGCCTAACTCGTTAAGAAGGTTTAACCACCTTGAGACGATCCTAGAAGAAGCTCTACCAATTCCCGACACAACCGAGAAGATGGCTTCCACCTCTGGCTCGTTCCACATGGAAGACTCCCTATCAACCAACAAACCTCCATACTTCAATGGAGTCAGCTATCATCATTGGAAGAAATTAATGAAGGTATTCATCCAATCCAATGATCTTGATGCATGGGAGATAATTGAGAACGACTACTATTCTCCAAAGAAGAAGGGAAGAAGAGGAGTGACAAAGAACGGAAGAAAGCTCGACTTAATGCCAAGGCCATGCAGATGCTGTTTTGTGCATTTGGTCATGAAATCTATGAAGGGGTTTCTTCATGTTCAAGTGCCAAGGAGCTTTGGAATAAGCTTGAGGAAATCCATGGAAACAAGAAAGAAGAACTAACAAAGGTGGTGTCTCTAATGGCTTGTGAAGAGCCCGAGGTATCTTCTCACTCAAATGAATTTAATTCATATATGTTTGATGAGTTACAAGATGCTTTTAATAGGTTATATTCGGAGTTTGAGACCATGAACTCCAAATATAAGAAAATGATTTCAAAATTTAAAATCGAAAATGATTTTCTTTGAAAACAAAAATAGATTTTGAAAGCCAAATTTTGAAAAGGATTTAGAGAATGAAATTTGAAAGAAATATTGATTTAGTTAAGCTTGAATGCTTAACAAAAGAAAAAGAAATCATTTTAAATAATTCATTTAGTTCAATAATATCAATATGCTCACATTGTCATTATCATGATAAGGAACATACTTGTCATTTGAAGAAAGGAAAACGTTTTAAAATTAGACAAGTATGGGTTCCGAAAGGAACAAGGGGCATTGAAACTAACGTTCAATGATCCAAAGCAATTTGGATACCAAAATCTGCTTAAATGGCTCTTGTAGCATGCATGAGTTTTGGTTTTAAATGATTATGCATCATTATTTTAATCTCATGTATGTTGAAAAGATGATTATGATGAACATTTTAAAGTTATATTAATTTTTAAGAATTTTTAGTTCATCATAATAAAATTTTGGTCAAAATTGGTTTTAATGCAATTGATATCTCTCTAACAATTGATATCAATTTTTCAAATACTTTGATTTTACAAATTTTAAAATTTTTGACCTAAATTTGAATGTTTATGAATGTGGTTTAAATGAAAATGATAATAAATCTCTAACAATTGATATCAAAATTTTCAAATGCATAACATTTTTGGAAAACTTTATGCATATGCATTTAATTTTAACAATTGGTATGGATATCAAATTTCAACAATTAGTATTGCATAAAGTATTTTAGTCTTGGATATATTGAATTTCATGTGCTACTAACATGTTTGTTATTCTTTGTATAAATTTAATTTTGTTTAAGTGTCTTGTTCTTAAAGCTAAATTTTATTTGGAATGCATTTATTGAGGGGGAGCTTTGATTTTTCAAATTATTTTTTTTAAAAAAATGTCAAATTTACTACTTACTCTCCAAAGTTATTTTGAACTTCAAAGATTAGAGTCTTTTTGATTTAACAAAAAAGGGGAGAAGTGTTAAAGTGTTTTAAAGGGAATGAATGTTAAAGTAAGAGGGAGTAATTTTTCAAACTTGATTTCAAAATCTTAAAATTACTCAAATGTTTTTGAAAACATTTTTATGTTTCGATATAACAAATTAAGTTAAATGAATTTTAAGATTTTACAAAAGATTTTCTAAGTATATTCGATGTAATTATTCGAATATCAAAATATTACTCCAAGTCTTTCAAAGTTCATTTTAATCCTTACTAAAGTGTAAAATTGTGTTTTATACTTAAACTATTTTAAAAGAATTTTACAAAGTATTTCGAGCCTTAAAGCGAGCCAAAAATATTTTCTTTTCAAAGGGTTTCAAGAAAAATCAGATTGCCCAGGGGTACCGATTCCCCTGTCTAACGGTCAAAAACAGATTGCACTTAGGGAATCGATTCCCCATGAGGGGGTATCGATTCCCCCCCATGCTCCAAGCTATTTTATTAATTGATTCTCATCCCCAAACGGCTCCAAAACATCCCCAACAGCTATATACGACTTCAAACACATTCCAAGCTATAAATACAAGCTAAGGACACTTGAAGAATTAAGAGAACAACTATCCAAGCAATCAAACACAATAGAAGAGTTTTTCAATCTTATGTCATCTTTCTCTTGTAAATATTTTGTTCTTGTGAGCTCAATCTTGTAAACACATACCTTAGAGAGGTTTTCTTGTTTACATCTTTTATCCTTTTGTAAAGGGAAAATGTTCTAGCTTAGCCCGTGTAAAAGCTAGGGAAAGGTTCTAGTTTAGCCTGGAAAAACTAGGGAGTTTGTAAGGTTACTCTTTATCCTCAAAAGAAATAACAAATTAGTGAATTTGTGGAAAATCCTTGGTGAGGAGCTAAGGTAGTAGATGTAGACTTTGGTTGAGAAAGTCGAACCACTATAAATCGCTGTGCAATTCTCTATCTTTCAATCTCCTTACTCTCTAAACACAAAACCGTTTCGACCCCTCTTTGCAAATCGTTCTGGTTGTCGATTCGAGCTTCTGAAAATCCTAACTTATATAATTATATATATTAAACTATAAAATTCATAGGATCAAATTGAAATAAAATAAAAATTTAAAGCTTAAATTAATACATTATATAGTTATACATATTAAGCCTTGATGGTCCTTGATGGTGCACCTGGATTGATGATGTGGCATCATAGGAACAATTGGATTAAGCCTCTATTCAAGGATTTTAGTTTGCCTATACCTTTAACCATAGATAGGTGGCATAAGCATCTAAAAAGTTGGGTCACATTAAATGCATTGTCCTCTCTCAAATTTCAAAGCAAAAACCGCCTCCCATACATATTTCCAAAACCTACGTCTAGGAGTAGTTTTTAGGATTTTTTCCCTTTTTTGTATTTTATTATTCTTTAATTATTTATTTATAATGCACATATTAATAATACATGTGAGCTTGTGTAACACCCCCAACTCGTACCCAACCCGGATACGAGTCTGAGGTGTCACATTGACTTTTCAAACTTTGACTCCTGACAAAAACTCGAGAAAATTTAAAACTTTCATTAAAGTCACAGCGGGTTGTTTAACTCAATCAATTAGTACATGCCAACTATATTCAATATACAGAATACATCTAATTCAAGACATCTTTTCTGATCTGATCTTCGGTAAGAAGTAACTGACCGGTCTTGCTTCTCTTCACTTGTCTTCTAGCTTTTCGGAACCTACGTGTGAAACACTCACACATTAAGTCGATGACTTAGTGAGGCATAAAAACATATAACCACTACTAATGCATTCATAATCTATATTATATCATACAAAATCATACATTCTGTCATGCAACCACTATCCACTTGTACACACATCATTCACATGTTCTTATAACAGGTTTCATAGCACAAAACATGTAAATCATGTAAGGTGTTATTATTATCTCTTTATTAGTCTTATTTTCGTTCTTTATCTTTTTGTCATAAGTTCTTGCATCAATTCCTCTTAACCAAGCTATATACACATCATCATATCACATATATCACTTCACACCATAAAGATTACAAACCAATCACATACTATCATGCAAGGTTTTTTTATATTATTTCCTTTATTAGGCCATGTACACATGTGAGAACCATAGATATGTGAGTCTATAGAGGTTGTGCACTAATGTTGTCACCACAGCTTGTATAATTGCACCGAAGTGCCACGTAGAATTACACCGGAGTGCCGCGTAGAATTGCACCATAGTGCCATATAATAATGTCCATCAGGACCACATATCATTCCTTAAGAATCATATACATATACTAGGGATCAAGTATGTGTCTCACAATACTTCACACATGTTCTAAAGAATATATATATATATCCCGAAGGACCACGTAGACCCTCGACTCTTGGCATGCCAACTATACCCCTAGCTCTCAAGACACATAACATGGGCATTTTCTTTTATACTTATCATTTCACATAACACATAGTTCACTTTCACATATCACGTAGCTTATATAACTTTTCGTGTCATTTTACATTTCTTGACACCTTGCTTACATTCTATTATTATGACTTTTCATAATTACATATACACATAATCTTATAGTTCATTCACATGGCTCATCATAAATTTTCATAAGATCACACCCATTCACGTAGTTCATTTCCATATAATTCACCTGTACCTATTTGGTTTCTCATATAATCACAGAGTCTTATAATATTTCATACGACCTCATACATCACATCACCTAGATATATACTCAAATACTCATAGTTATATAGTACTTAAATTATTCCTATTCACATCATTCATGTTCATATTTATAAACATGCATTTTATATTCTATGTGCGTATCATTATTTTATATCCAAATCTCCTAAGTGATATATTATTCTCAGTTCCTTTTATAGTTCAGTCTTATATAGTTTTCCTCCATTCTCCATAAATCTTATAACTCTAATGCGCAATTCCCATAATTGATCATATCATTACTTACTTGTCTCATTTATATTTCTATTATTTATATAACATTTACACATGTTTACCTAATTCAGTTTCACATATCGCATATGCAAGTCTTCTAATAAATTATCATCAAAAGCTCCTATAACATCTTCCTATAGCTTCATAGATCTTTACCATATAATTGGTCTTACATGTCCCTATAACCAGTTCTATCAATATCTCCTAATATATATATATATCTATTAATCTCATATTGTTCTATAGGTCAATGTTATTTAACTTATCTCACATTTTATTTAATCCCTTAAGTTGATTCCACCAATTCCTTTATATCTAAATCAGGTAATTTATATCTTGTTCCATATTTTATGTCACTTTCTCTTGTTAACACATAAGTCGTGGTTACCTTACATAATTTGTGATCCTATAACTTATATCACATGTTCATATAACATTTTCCTATAATACATAAATCATTGTCATATAACTCATATATAAATTCATACCACATAACATATAATACGAACAAAACATATTCACACAATATCAACATAATCATACTTCTACTCCTACAATCATATTGGAAACAGACTTGTCACAAGTCCAATTTCCATATTCAATGCGTATATTATAATAATATGCACTCACCTGGCCTCACTAGTCAATACCAATCTCTTATCTTTTCCTTGATCGATCTTACTTGCCAAATATTCCCGGAATTACTTTACGCTTAGAATCTACATAAATGTACATTTTAAGGCAATTATTAGATACCTACACCTTGTAATTGGATACTAGAAACTTACACGAACCTATTAAACCAATATTCATAACTTTCCTTTAGGGGGAATCGGTTCCCTCCTGTGGGGGTATCGGTTCCCCCATGACATTCTGTAAATTCTGGTTCGTTTGAGGGGGTATCGGTTCCCCTTGAATGGGTATCGATTCCCCTAGCCCAGAAATCACATTTTGAGCTCGAAAATCACTTCATTTTCAGTCCCACACTTCCTATTTCACTTCCTTTAATATTCTTAACTCAAATATACATACTTAAACTAATAAATTTCATTCAATATCTCTTTAACTTAAAAATCCACTCCTCCACATAGCATTCAAGAATCATACCAATTTTTCCATGTTACCCAAACTTAATTCTAACACTTCTACTTCTTATTCTCATAGATGACAAGTCAAATTCAACTTCCAATTTTAGTAATGAACTATATTCCAAAATTTCATTCAAAAACACTTAATCTTTAATCTCTCATAAATCCACCATCCTTTGTTTTTAAGATGATTTAAGCTTTCCTAAGCTTAATTATCATCCAATAATCATAACCAAATCCTAAATTCAGCTAAATATCAACTAACAAAAGATCTTACCTTTGTTTATGGCTTCACAGTGGAAAAGAAGAGAATGAAGAAGAGAAGTCTGGAACTCTCTCATATTTCCCACGTTTTATAATACTAAAAAAGGGAAGATAAAAATCTTTCCCATGAAAAGACCATTTTACCCCTTTAGTTCATCCATCTTTGCTATTTAATCTAATATTAAAATTATTTACTTAACTCCCGAGACTTTTAATTTATTTCTAAATTGAGCACAAAACTTTCAAAATTTTCAATTTAGTCACTGACCCTGATTTGGGATGTTACAACTTGTATATTGGACCAGTGTAAAACAAATGTAATGGACCTATACTAATGCAAATGACCTATTTTTTTGGGTTTGTTATTTATTTATTTAATAAAATAAATAGGCTATACCACTAACCTATCATGCAACTATTATTTAAAAACTATATAATATATACAAACTATATAACATGTAACACACACTAGTTATTTAACTATTTAACATGCAATGCAACATGAAATGAAACATGAAATGCAATTCAACATGAATTAATATGGAATGTTAAATGGAATGCCAAATGAATTAATATGCACCTATTATTATCTAATATCTAACCCATGTAATTATTTAATATGCAATGCAACTAATACTAATTCCATAATATCTAATATATGCAACTATACTAATATGCAACTATACTAATATGCAACCTACCTTATGCAAAAAATGGCACCATATGATGAAATGCATTTAGTATCCAAACTATACTATATGTACTAACTATATATCATATATTATATATTACAAACCGTCACGTGTCACCACCCGGATAAAATGGGTGATGACAATTATCAATATGAATTAATCTTTTATATTATGCTTTATATATGTTATAATTGTTAGATAATTTTTTATATAAATTAAACTATATAATTTACATTTAAAATAAATTTACTGATCATGTTTGATGCCAATAAATTATTCTAACATGTAATCATTATAATTAATTTAATTAATAATGTTCAATACATAAATTATTTAATAAAATAAAATTAATGATTATATTGAAGATTTATAAGATAAGAATGATAATATAATTATTATAATTAGTATTTTATTATAACATTTAAAAATTAATCATATTAATTAGTATGATTTATTATAAACTTAAAATCTCATAATTTTATTAAAATCTTATAATTTCATCAATGGTAATATAAATCAGGTAAATGTCAAATTAGGTTAATAACAAGTCAAATCATTTATAGGTCAGGTTGAAAACATGTTAGATTGAAAATAAGTCGGATAATACCAGTTATTTACCAGTCAATATCGGGTCGGGTTCATATTTGTCGGATGCAGTTCGGGTATCATATTTTCTATTCAATTCGGGTTCAGGTCGTTATCAGGACGGGTGCAAATCTACAATTTTCAGGTCCAACTCGGGTACATGTCAACACCAGTTCCGAATCGGGTCGTCACGACACAGGTCAAAAATAATTTCAACTCGAGTTGATTTTACAGATCGAATCAACTTTTTACACCCCTAATCAGCACAACTTTTTTTTAATCAGAACATTTTTGTTTTGTTTGTTCAACAGCTAATACTGTCATTGCCACGTGAGTTAGGAACCCGAACCAATAATTTAATGTCGTTTACGCAAAAAAACATATTTAACTCCTTACGGTACCATGAATAGGGGTGTAAACGAGCCGAGTCGAGCTCGAGTATTACTGAGCTCGACTCGACTCAAAAACTCTAAAATAGAGTTCGAGTCGACTCAAATATTCACGAGCTTAAAATTTTCAAGCTCGACTCAAACTTGAAATCCTGAACTGAAGCTCGTGAGCAACTCGAAAAAGGCTCGAAATGAAAAAAAAATTCTTAAACTCAACTCAATTAAAGCCTCAAACTTAAACTCGAACATGAACCTTAAATATGAAATCTTACTGTATTTTTTAAAACAAAATCATACATAAATATTATTATTAATTTTTTAAAATAAAATCTTAATATATTATATTTTCGAGCTACTCACGAGCTTTTTGAGTCGAATATCGAGTAGCTCGTTTCAGCTCGTTAAGAATTCGAGTCGAGTCCATTCGATCCGAGTATTTATCGAGCATTGATCGAGTCGATCTTGAATAACTCACGATCTGTCCGTCTCATTTACAGCCCTAACCGTGAAGGCTCACGACATTGCCACGTGAGTTAGGAATCTGAACCAATAATTTAATTAGGGATGGCAAACGGGCGGGTCGGGTGCGGATACCCCCTCCCCCATCCCCATACCCACCTAATATTTTTCAATCCACCACCCGCCCACCACCCATGATGGGTAAAATTTTTCAAATCCACACCCGCCCACGTGGGTACATTCTCAAATCTATTCCCACACCCACTACCCACTGGAGACGTACCCGGCTAGACCCTCATGACAGCAAACTTAAGTTATACATAAGCAACAAACATAAAACAAACACTTCCATTAAGAAACATAATAAAATAAACAAATGATTATCTGATTTAAGTATTAATATAGATCTTAAAGTACATAAAACACCATAATAAAAGACATAATTAAAGTCTAGAAACATAAACGACAAACACATAATTTTTTTGTTCTTTGGCACAACATTCTAAAATTTCAGGCAATACTTGTGACATCTGATATTCCAGTATTACAATCATCATTCTAATAAAACACCATAATAAAAGACATAATTAAAGCCTAGAAACATAAATGACAAACACTATGTTTTTTAGTAAAACAGAAAAGGGCAATTGAATTACACGCATATGATTCAAAGACATTATATATTTATATTTCCCTATAATATGAGAAAATATCATCGAATTTAATCAAAACAAAAGCTAAGAACAGTTAAGTTTTGTCAAAGCAAACTAAGATGATTTAAGACCTCCTAAAATAGCAGCTCTCCAAAAAGGAGAATATAAATTTAATTTCGGGGACAAGAACATGGGAAAGTTATAAAGAACAAGGAAGACATTGAATATCTAAATATATGAAAAACTTTTAAGTACAAAAGAAAATTAGTTTCCAAAGATTATGTTTTAGGAAAATGTAAGATGTAATATTAGCTTCATAAATTTGAAAATTTTAGAAATAAATAAAATAAAATTCAACAAACGTAAAGACCAGGAAACTTAGTAATTAAAGAACGGAAGTTACGAGCAATTTTTAATTTAAAATACTTTTAGCACTTCGAAAAATTAGAAAATTGTAAAATACTCGATTGACATTTGAATTTGAAAAAGTCAGTTTCAAAGTTAGCATATTTAACCTCCGCAACTTTTCCCCCGTAGCCAAACAGAGTACCAGAGAAAGCACGAGTGAAACACTTAATTCTATTCAGTGGCGTTAAAAATGGAGGTTTGAGAAGCAACAATCTGACTTTGTTAGCCTAAAACGTGGGTGCTTAGTGTGACAAGATACTGATTTCCAGAACATTAAGAAATTAAGCTTAAAACAAACATTAAGATAAATCTAAAAAATAATTAAAAATCAATACGAGCAAATAAAAATTAAACTCTTAAAACGAAATGAAGAGGAGTTTAAAATTAAATGACTACGAAAATGGCTCTTACAAATTAAATTTCAAGTAAAAAGAGAAGAAACGTACCTAAATAAGCTGGAGAATAGAGACCAGAAGTTTGAAAGATCGGCGCAGTAACGAGAGGTTTGAAAGAAAAAAATTTATTCATAAACTTATCCATAATATTTGGTTAAATTACAAGTTATATCGTATACAATATTAGGATTTATAAATTAGTCTCTAAGATTACACCTAAATTCATAATGATCCAAAATTTAATGGATATTTAGTGGGCAGACATATGTGGGGCAGGCAGATACAGGACGGGCGGATGCGAGGCGGGTAAAGTCTCAAACCTATTACCCCCCACTACCCGCTATGGGTATCACTTTCTAAATCCATACCCGGCCACTACCCACTAAAATTATACTCATCCCCACCCCAAGTGAAACGAGTGCGGTACAAAATCTACAAAATTATACCCGTTTCCCTAATTTAAGGTCGTTTACGCAAAAAAACATATTTATCTCCTTACGGTTCCGTGAAGGCTCACGACACTGTTCTTTCTTTCTTCAACATAACTAAGGTAAAGTGTTCTCAACTTGTTCTTCTTTTCTAATTCTTGGTTTTCTGTTTTAATGCTTGATGAATTGTAATATCCCGGGGAAATTATTATGAAAATTATGACGCAGCTTTCATACATACATATATCTATATATTTCTGGAGATGGGTAGTTTCATCTTTACTTGGGAAGGTATGCTTGTGTGTTTTGGCTGATTACTTTCAACTTATTTCTCTTCTCTTATTATCATAAAGATGCTTTGTTTTCTGGGTTTGTTTATGATTCAAATTCTGGGTTTGAACTTTGAAGGTTAAGTGGTGTGTCAATTGTGGGGAAAAAAGGTTTTATAAGTTCCCAAGTAATCTGTAATAATCTCAAGTGTTGATGATAATTTTCAATTTCATAATGTTTTACAGATTTTCACGACTTTCAAAGGGGAATCATTTAGTTTTCATCAGATGCTCTCGGGTGATTGAAATATTGGATCCACCCGAGCATCCATCGCAATTGCAGCTATGGAAACAACCAAGGTGTATGTAGTGTGAGTGTTGATCCCTCAGCCCATTTGCATTACTTCATAATTTCTATGAATGTCTTCTATGTTTTGCCGTCCTTGAATTATATAAACTCGAATAGGTATTACTCGTTATACCGTCATGTCGAGATCATGGCGAGGGAAGTGCAAAGGGGGGCTAATTCTGTTCAAGGTGTTGAGGCCACAATTTGGCAGGTAATTATAACCGGAAGAGAAGTAGGATGCCTTGAATAAATATGTCCTTTTGATCTTATTAAGTTAGGCAATTGGTTTGATTTGACAGGTACCTGAGACACTATCCGATGTAATTATACAAAAGATGAAGGCGCCAGCTAAAGCGGCAGATGTACCGGTGATTAGGCCAGAACAGCTTTTGGAAGCTGATGGTTTTCTCTTTGGTTTTCCTTCTCGTTTCGGTGTGATGGCAGCTCAGTCCAAGGCTTTCTTTGATGCTACTAGTGAGCTGTGGAAATGCCAAGCACTTGCCGGCAAGCCTGCTGGTATCTTCTGGAGTACTGGTTTCCACGGAGGAGGTCAAGAACTCACTGCGTAAGTTCCTTCCGGATTCAGATATTCCCAGAGATATCAGTTATTGTATGGATAGACTTGCAGTTCCTTCAACCTACATTTGACAAATAGGTTAATTATGTTTTTTACCATACCTTCCCCATCAGCAAAATCAATGTTTGTGTTTGATATTGCATCTTCTCTTTGTTCAATATATCCAGATTAACTGCTATAACACAGTTAGCACATCATGGTATGATATATGTGCCTCTTGGATACACTTTTGGGAGTGGCATGTTTGAGATGAAGGAGGTAAAGGGTGGATCTGCTTATGGTGCCGGCACTTACGCAGCCGATGGATCCCGTGAACCCACCGAGCTAGAGCTCCAACAGGCCTTTCACCAAGGTAAATATGTTGCGGAAATCACCAAGAAACTCAAGAACAAGACAAGCTGATGGATATCAATATCCAGAGTGCAGAGACTAACAAAAGTACAACATTAACTCTGATGCTCATGTATCTCTGCACTGTTCCATTCTTACCTTATGTTTGGACTGAAAGAAAATGAAATAAAAAGAATGAAAGAAAAGCAAGTGAATTGAATGAAGATCCACCTTCCATTATATAATCTTCATTGTCGTCTCTCAGTCATTTCCTTAACTTTCTCTCTCACTTCACTTTCACCGTCCATTACCTTTCCAACAGTTTTCTTGATCTCATCAACCATCACAAGTTCATCACTTTCTTATAGACCAATCTCATCTCCACCACTAACCCTAGTTCGCCATCTTGAATGCATTAAGCTGTTGTTCGGCGTACATTGTCCATGTTAGAATCGTTACGCCGAACAACAAGCTTTCAATGACCGAGTTCCAACCACAATGAGATACGTATCCTCCTATTGCTTTGTGTGTAAAGAACCCTCAAGTGGGGTGCCCAACTACATATAGTCCCCCTGTAGCAACGTTTCTGAAACATTATTGTGTGGTGGTGGCACACGCAAGGACCATAAGAACTCGAGCTTCGCTCGAGCCCAAGTGTAATTTCTTTCACTTGGGGTGCTTTAAAGTTTCCCATGCATCCGAAGCAAAGGAAGACCCCTGACGATTGCGGTTGATCATCAAGCCATTTCATGACCTTGCCGTCCGAGTTCGAGTAGCTTAGACTATCGGAGTCGATCATTGGTTCAACTAGATAAACTGGAGAGTTTTTATAAAAAAAAAATCAATTTTTAGATACATCCAACATTGAATTCATATTAAATTACATATACTATTTTATATTAATTAATGTGATAGTGAACTTTCTTTTATTTTATTATTACATTAAACAAATGATACTGACAAATAAACTAATAGACTGATTAATATGTCCTGATTAGTTATTTATGTGAGTACTAATTTTTACTGATTTTATCATAACATTAAATTAATAGTAATAATAAAACAAATGAATATTAAATTAAAATATTATATTATTTTTTTAGCTTTTACTAATTATTATTTTTAAAATATTATATTATATTTTTAGCTTTTACTAATTATTATTTAACATTAATTGATAGATGGGAAAATTAATTGTTCAGTTGAATAGGATTTCTATTTTTGCCGCCGTAAGTCTTTTTTCCTCTTTATCTTTGTAATCGACGATGACACGAATCTTAATGTTAATTGTTGACCGTCAATATTTATTATTTTTTCTTTATTTTATTAGGTTGTATCTATATATTTTTTTGTTTTTAATTTTTAATAACTCTATATTTATGACACTTTTTTATTGTCTTTATGGTATTTTTTTTCTTTTGGCATGTTTTCGATTATTTGATCGTTATTTTCGTTTATCTTTTTTTTGGTTGGATTTGACATCGTTATGACTGATCAATATGACGCTCATTTGTTATCACTATGATCTTTCCTGCTTTGGATCTTCATATTGGATTTGGATACATAATTTACGTTCGTAGATAGTTTCCTTACATCGTTCGATTGTGATTTGTGGTTTATCGATGGTCTTTCAATAGTTTAATCCCTTTTTGTAGTTTGTTTTCCGATGTATTTAGATATGTTTGTATCTACCTTTTATTTGAGTTTATTTGGTTAGGTTTTAAACATTTTCCTTATATGTTCCTTGTGATCTTAAGTGGTTAGTCTCTTTTTGTTAATGATTATAGAAAAATGTTCTTTTTAAATGTTTTAATTTACGATTATGATTATAAATTTCTATTGTAATTTGAATATTTTATAATTTTATTATAACTAGCCATTTCTATCTTGTAAAAAGAAAAAATAGTTGATAGATGGATTGGAAAAGATTAATTCAACCTTCATAATAAAGTTTTGGGTAAATTGCACATTGAAGACCTAAACTATTAGTTTTATTTCGTTTTATTACCTAAATTTTTATTTGTTTCAAAATCATACTTAACGTTTACTTTTTATTTCATTTTAATACCCGCCGTTAAAAACCTAACCAGATGCGGGGCTAGGCATGATCAATGTGCGCGATGGAACATGGCCCCAGAATAGCAAGGTCCCCAAAAGGTTCATAATGAGGTTATTGATATTACCGTAGATGATTAAACTATAAAAAAGGAGCCCAAAAAAACTTTGTTCGAAGGAAGATATGAGAAATACCAATAATTAGTACTATGCTACAGCTGTAAAGTTTATCTCATTTTTTTGGGTTTAACTCACTTTACGAAAAATTGCCTCTTTTTAAGAATTTATACAGGGCCTCCAACGTCCTATCCCCCAACCCTGAACCTAACACCTTCATGTGATATTTTTTATGGGTAAATTGTATCATTCATCACTTAACTATTTTTTCACTCCTATTTTGATCACTAAAATTTAATTTTTTTTTAATTTTAACTACTCAACTTTTAAATTGCTCATGTTTTATTCACTTTAATTTATTTTATTAAATTAAATTTCAATGATTAAAATAGAAGTGAGAAGATAGTTAAATGATGAATGATGTAATTTACTCATAAAAAATGTCATATTATAACAGTTTTGCTAGATTTTTAACGGATAGTATTAAAACGAACTAAAAATAGATGCTAGATATAATTTGAAATAAATGAAAATTTAAGTACTAAATAAAAATAAAAATAATAGTTTATGTGCTAAAGTTTTTACGTGTTTAATGAAGTAATCAGAAAGTCAAAGCAGATGGATACAAACAAGATAAAAAAATTGACCACGTGGCATTTGTGGTTCTTTCAAAACCCAGAAATGAAATGAGTAACAGAACAAATCTTCTTTTTAAAACACAACAGTTTCGTCTTCTACCAAATAACTCCAAAAAGGATTATATACGACACCGTACGCCGACAGCCGCAACCCTGTTTTTCCGGTCAACGGAATATGAGTCCCAACAGGCGAATACCCCGGCCTCTCTGGCAAGGAGTCAAACCCACTCAATACCACCGACCCGAACTCCCCCTATATATCTGTCACCGACGATGCTCTCTTCGTAGATTCGGACCCAGGTCACTCTTTTCAAGCGATCCGAGAACAGATTTTTGGGTCGAATGATAGCTCGGCTGACCCAGCTCCGATGAACGGCTTTGCCCAGCAAGCGGAGAGCATGGGTGAAGGAATGAGCAAAACCGTGATGAGTGGATTTAAACCGAGTCGATTACCGGTGTACTCAAAGTTAGCGAACGAGTTCGGCGTTTTCGACCGGTGGTTCGCTTCGGTTCCCGCCTCGACTCAACCGAACCGGTTTTACGTTCATTCAGCTACATCGTTTGTAGCGATGAGTAATGTGAGGAAAGACCTCGTCAATGGATTCCCCCAAAAGACGATTTTCGATTCGTTGGACGAAAATGGCCTCAGCTTCGGCATTTATTACCAAAATATCCCGGCTACCCTTTTCTTCAAAAGCCTCAGGAAATTGAAGTTCTTAATCAAATTCCACAGTTATGCTTTGAAGTTCCGCCTCCACGCGCGGCTCGGGAAGCTCCCGAATTACGTGGTGGTGGAGCAACGCTACTTCAACGTCAATTTGTTCCCGGCGAACGACGATCACCCGTCGCATGATGTGGCGCTTGGGCAGAAGTTTGTGAAGGAGGTGTACGAGATACTGAGGAGTAGTCCCCAGTGGAAAGAGATGGCTCTTTTGATTACTTACGACGAGCACGGAGGGCTTTATGATCACGTGCCGACTCCGGTCTCAGGTGTGCCTAACCCGGACGGAATAGTGGGACCCGACCCGTATTATTTCAAGTTCAATAGGCTTGGTGTTAGGGTCCCTACTCTATTGATCTCTCCCTGGATCGACAAGTCCACCGGTAAGTCCTTTTCTTTTCTTTTCGTTTCTTTCAAAGAACAAATTAGTTTAAATTTTCCTTTTCCTAATTGTGTTGATTTTTGTTTTCTTTTGCTGTGCCAGTTAACTGTTGATTAAACACTAGCAGGAAATCAAAGATAAAACTAATATAATTCTAATTAAAGGAAATGGAAAATGTTGTCTTTAAGGTTTGGTTGGAAGTTTATCTCTTTAATGGTTTTGCGTAGAAGTATGCTTTAAAATTGTCTTTTATTGATAATTGAGAGCACATTGCTATGCTTCTAATAATACTATGTTTTAGGTGGGATATTTTTGCGTCTTTATATTAATAGTTGACTATTGAGGATAACTATTTAGTTGAATAAGTTGGTTCGGGGTGAAATCAAATTGCTAGCTTAGTTTTTTTGTTGATATCTGGTGAAATCGAGTTTGATTTCTCCTTGATGCCTTGCTGTTAAGTACAATGTTTGTTGAGGTGTGGTTGGGGCGAGCATGTTGGGTTTGAGATGGGTCACTTTGGGTTATTGCAGATAGCAAGTTCTTGACTTCTTGGAGTCTATTTCTGGTCGATAAATTGTTTCGGAATTGGTTTTCACTTGCTAATTCTTGTTGATATGCGAAAATCGTAGCTTCAACTTATGTTGAACACACAAAACATGGCATCTTACCTATAGGATAAATGAGGAGTATCAACTTTATAAGAGAGAAAAGACATTTGAGCATTCAACCTGAAGACAGTTTGAAGTTGAACCCTTATTCAGTAGGTCCAGCCATCCTTTATATCGATGTAAAACGAATAAAGTCATTGTTCTTGTTCTTTGGTTTTCGTTATGAATTGACATTTGAGTAATGCATGTCCCAAAACAAGCTTCCCATTGTCGTTCTACGTCATTTCTTGGCTTGCTTTCTCTGTTTTTTACTATATGACGCAATTCTGGTCCTTTCATCTGTTTAACTCATCTTTGTTTTGGTAACAGTGATCCATGAACCAACTGGACCAACACCATTTTCGCAGTTTGAACATTCTTCCATCCCTGCAACAGTGAAGAAGCTTTTCAACCTGAATTCAAATTTCCTGACAAAGAGGGATGTGTGGGCTGCAACATTCGAGAATTATTTTAACCTGCGGAGTACTCCTCGTACTGACTGCCCTGGTATGTTCAAATTTCCCTGATCACAGAGTTGGATTTTCTTTGCAAAATGCTTTTGCACTTTGTTAATCCATTGACTTCCGATCAAATATATCCATGGAATATGGTCCCCCTTCATCCTTGTAGGCCTCTCGACGAAGTAAAGCAAGAAAAGTTAATAATTGATGGTGCAGTATGACTACCATATTGACTATTGAAAGCTTATCTTGTCTCGGAATTGTCAGATGTAGAGTTCAACTGCTTGTACTTCGCCTGAAATAGTTTATAATATATTCTGGAATTTGGATGCAGAAACACTTCCCGAGGTAACAACATCACTGAGGCCATGGGGACCAAAAGAAGACGCTATCTTGTCGGAATTCCAAGTTGAACTCGTTCAGCTTGCATCACAACTCAATGGTGATCATGTCCTCAAATCTTACCCATATATCGGGAAAAGCATGAGAGTAGGTGAAGCCAACCAATATGTAGAGAATGCAGTCAAGAGGTTCCTGGAAGCTGGAAGAGCTGCTATAAGAGCTGGAGCTAATGATTCCGCAATCGTAACAATGAGGCCTTCACTTACCAGTCGAATTGAAGATAGGAGCCAATACGTCGAAGCCTATTAGTCCTATACAACTATCCCCGCCCCACTGTAATATAAATCTAGATTATTATATCTACACGTATAGCAAATATCCCAAGTATACTAGCATAAAAAAACTTAATATCAATGACTTAAGCTGTAATTATTCATATATTATCCATGTAACCTTACAATTATGTTGCATGTTCCTTAATGACATAATGCAAGGTAGTATATGAATATTTTGGGTATAAGGTAGTTTTTGTTCGAAATTTTTCTTAGTCATTGACAATACACGTATACATTATAGATGCAACTGTCTGAACAATATTTTTTATCACTAGTATTTTGGCAACTGGCGTTGCACCAAGTTTAACATCAATAATAATCCAAATCCCAAGATGGCAATTTGCAGCCCCAAAATCCAAAATTGCCCTCAACCAACCACAACTCCACGGGCATATCTACCATTCAAAGAATCACAAGTATATCCAAAGCTACGAGCTAGTGGCACTATATCTTCCCTTTTCCATTAGGACCAACCGATACTACTATCATCTCATCTTCTCACTTGTCACTGCCTCTCTCCAATGATCATGGAGATCAGTTGGGAGCAAAGTGTCACCTATTCTATCAACACCATTTACCTTCTATTTTCTGCTTACTTAGTCTTCGTCATGCAGCTTGGCTTTGCCATGCTCTGTGCTGGTTCAGTCCGTGCCAAGAATGCCATGAACATTATGCTCACTAATGTTGTAGATGCCGTCGTCGGTAGCATCTCTTACTATCTCTTCGGCTTTGCTTTCGCATTCGGAGACAACTCCAACCCTTTTATTGGCACCAACTTCTTTGCCCTTAAAGATGTTCCTAATACTTCATTTGACTACTCTTTCTTTCTTTACCAATGGGCTTTCGCCATTGCAGTTGCAGGGATTACCAGTGGGTCAATAGCTGAGAGAACCCAATTTAGTGCTTACTTAGTTTTCTCATTTTTCCTTAGTGGGTTCGTTTACCCTATTGTGGCTCATTGGGTTTGGTCATCAAGTGGGTGGCTCAGTGCTAGTTTAAGCAATCCACTGTTTGCTTCTGGTGCTATTGATTTTGCAGGGAGTGGCGTGGTGCATTTGGTTGGTGCAGTTGCTGGGTTTTGGGGTTCATTAATTGAAGGTCCAAGAGTGGGTCGGTTCGATGCTTTTGGCAAGCCTATTCAGATGCGTGGCCATAATGCAACGCTAGTGGTTCTCGGAACGTTCTTGTTGTGGTTCGGTTGGTTCGGGTTCAATCCAGGCTCATTCGATAAGATTCTCGTGGCCTATCCAAGTACAACGAATCAAGGTAATTGGACCGCCATTGGTCGGACAGCGGTCACAACAACATTAGCCGGATCGATGGCTGGAATTGTAACGTTGTTCAGTCGAAGACTACTAGTGGGCCATTGGGATGCACTCGATGTGTGCAACGGAGTGTTAGGCGGGTTCGTCGCGATAACATCAGGCTGTGCAGTTGTTGAGCCGTGGGCTGCTATCGTTTGCGGTTTTATCGCAGCTTGGGTCTTGATTGGGCTAAATATCCTAACACTTAAATTGAACTTTGATGACCCATTAGAGGCTACACAATTGCATGGGGGATGCGGTGCTTGGGGTTTGATTTTCACTGGCTTGTTTGCCAAAGAGGAGTTTGTGATTCAAGTCTATGACTCAGTCGACACCGGCGTGGTTCGACCCCATGGACTATTCACGGGTGGGGGCTGGGAATTGCTCGGTTGCCAAGTGATCGAACTTTTGGTGATAGCTAGCTGGGTAAGTGCAACAATGGGACCCGTATTCTATGCTCTTCATCGACTGAGGATACTGAGAATATCAGTGGATGAGGAAATTGCAGGACTGGATATTTCCAGACATGGCGGATACGCTTACAATGCTCATCACGATGAAGATCAACCTCGCTTTTATGCAGATTATTTGAGAATGCAAGATTAGTCATAAGCTTATAACCATTGTATCAATCATGTCATTGTATTTTAATTTAATCTTTCAAAGATCATTGGTATTATTGTATCGGTTCGGGTCAAATTTAAAAATTTGATTTATCGTCAGTTAAATCATTTAGTTCCGCACAAAGTTTCTAAAAGATAGGAGGATCATAGTTTGAAAGACTATGTTTCTAAAAGATAGGAGGATCATAGTTTGAAAGACTATGTTTGGATATCAGCTGCTCAACGGAATTAGAAGCATAATTTGTCCTCACGACGGTCCATATCGGCGATGCCTCTGCTGATAAGAACACAGAGCCTCGACGAACTCTTCTTTCCAGAAATCAGGCCAGAGTTGTTGAGCAAAGAAGAGCTCGGTGTAAGCCAATTGATACAACAAGAAGTTGCTGACCCTGTATTCACTGCTGGTTCTTATTAACAAATCCGGGTATGATACTTCGTACATTTAGTTTCTAGCTCTTGCTTTTCGATTAAGCTTTCGTTGATGTCCGCTAGTTGAATTTGGCCATCTTTTACTCTCTCGGCTATGCTCCGGCGTGCTTGTACAACGTCGTACTTATCGCTGTAGCTGATTGCAACGATGAGTTGGAGTCGGGTGTTGTTTTTCGAGGTCTCCTTGACTTCGTTGATAAACTTTTGCAGCGATGTGGGAAGCTGTGATGAATCCCTTGGTACTCGAATTCCATCTCTGTTACAAACAACACATGACATCAGATATTTGACTTACCACATACTAATTTACGACGGTAATTGAAACAAACACATTGTTATGATTTTCAAAATTATCGGAATATTACAATTGCATAAATGCATAATTGCTTTTTTTTTTAATTTACATAATAACGATCACCACATTCGCAATCAACACGGAACCTCTTGACATTGAGCCATAGCCATACTGTTTGTCTAAAATTACCTTAGATAGCACTCCATCTCTGACTTGAACGATCTCTCAAATAAACTCAGCAAGAAACTAACCTCCATCTGCACTTCAACTACACCCCAATGAATATTCATGACTGTTTGAGGAATAATGAGTATATAATTAATTACCTTGGGACGAATCCAATTCTCGGAAGAGAAAGCGAAGACGGTTACAACCTGAATCACCCATTGACGACATAGCTTCACCATCTTCCTCAACGACTTTACAGCCGCTTCGTGCCCGGCTGATGTCCGCAATCCCCGCTGCCGAGCCCACCTCCTGTTCCCGTCCATTATCATCGCAACGTGCTTCGGCATCAACTCCATGTTCATCCCCTCCGGAAGCTCTGCCTCTTTCTCCACCAGAGAATCCCGCCCACCCGATAGGTCAGTGGTAGCCGCTTGTAGTTTATAGTGATATCGTTTGGGAAGAGAATAAAGAAGGCCCATTCGGTTCCAACCGGGTTTTGGTATGCTCTTGGTAGGGATTAATAACAGTTTATACTGCTTTTCCGCTTTTTGGTTCTGGTTTCATGAGTACCAAAGAAATATGTGAGAATATTCGGACGCAAGTGGAGAAGGTTGGTTGGCAGAGATTAATTTGATATCCTATGCATATTCCAAAGCATAGTTTGATTGTTTGGATAATCATATTGAATAGTGAAGATACTAATTTTTTACCCATATTATAAATATTATTATTATTGTTATTATTATTATTATTATTATTATTATTATTATCATATATTATTATATATTATTATTATCATATTATTATTATTATTAATATATATTAAAATACATATATATAATAAATAAAAAATATATGGCCCAACCAGTTAACTCAAATACAATGGCCCAAATCCATTCAGAAACCCTAAACCCAGATTAGAGTATGATCTCTAACCCTAGCTGCCTCATCATCACAGCCGTTGGATCTGAGAGATCCAACGGCCCACACTCATCCAGCACAAACCCTAGGGTATGATACCCTAGGGCCACGCGGCCGCCGGTGTTGTTGCTTCCAGAAGACTCCACCGCCACACCAACGTTCCAGCTTCTACCACGTCTACCAAAGACTCCAGAAGACCGGCCGTAACCGCACACGTCTCCCCCAAACGGTGAGTCACCACTGGGAGTCCGGTGACTCGCCGAAGGGTATTCTTCAGACCGGTCCGATGACCACACCGGTGATGGCTATAAAGCCATCACCCCATCTGCGAGCAAAAAAAAAGAGACAAAGACAGAGCCGGAAAAAAAAAAAAAAAAAAACAGAGAAAACAATATAAAAAACTACTATCAACGATCTCAGTCAACATCTCACAACCAGCAACAAAAAATAGAAGAAAAAGGAGGAGAGAAGCTTACCGAGGAAGCCCTGATCACCGGATCTCACCGAAACCTTCGAAACACCGAAGGTAATTTTGTAGATTTGCTCCGATTAGGAGCTTTTTAAGGAAAAAGAATACCGGAAACGTCCTTAGGACATCCCGATCTATTTAACGGTGTAAAAATAAAATTTTCCGGCCACCGTATGCGGTGGCCGACGATGTTGGTCACGGCGGCAGACGGTTGCCGTCAGGTGACCGGCTTCCCTCCGATGAGGGAAGCTAGAGAGAAGCCAGAGCTCTCTCTGCTTGAGAGAGAAAGAAAAAAGAATGAAATGAAGGCTGGACCTTTTATAGGCCTTCCCGAACGACGTCGTTTCGGGAAGGACTATGCGCATAATTAGATAATAGTTAAACCCCGTCCACCGTCCTCCTAACTTGTAAACTTTACATTTTAGTCACTAAATTGAATTATAAATACTTTAATTCAGTCTTCGAATTTCAATTTTATTCATTTTAGTCCTTTATATTAAAATAATATATTTAGGATAAATAACAGATTTAATCCCTTAATTTTAATAAATAATATTTTAATCCTTAGTTTATATTTTTAATTTATTTTATTATAATATCTGAATTTTAGATAATTTTATTTTAGTCACTGAATTATTAAATAAGAAAATAGCATATTTAATCCCTATAATTCTGATTAATTATGAATTAGGTTTTTCAATTTTAATTTCACTATATTTTAGTTATTATTTTAAGTATTTTTATTGCTTTTAAATATATAGTTAGAATTGTATTTTTTTTTACTTGTTTATATATTTAAATGTTGTTAAAAATATATAAATATTTATTTTAAATAAATTATTTTAATATTTATTTTTCAATATCAAAGAAAATGACAGTCTTAATACAACTGGATGTCCTATTCTGATATTTTAAAAATTAAAAATTAAACAATATTATTTAAATTAATATTTATCAATATCAAAGAAAAGAGCTGTCTTAAAGCACCTAGAAGTTCTTTTCTGATATTTTAAATAAATAATATTTTTTTTTATATAATTTTGAAATAATAGGATTATAAATTAATATATTTTTGAATTTTTAAATTTTAATAATAGAGACAATTTATAATTAAAAAGTACCAATTTTGGGCGTTGTAGGGGTGCTAATCCTTCCCTAAACGTAACCGACCACGAATCCCTTTTTATTATTAAAAAGAATGAATTTTTGGTTATAAACGCAGATCAGTTCATTTTTTATTAGTGTTTTCTTAAAACTCTTTTAAAAAATAATTTTTAGGTATTCGACCTACCGACCCAAAAGGCGATGGCGACTCTCAAATTATTTCAAAAACATTATTTACATCAATTTTCCAGCCAATTTAAAATTTCGTGCCCGGACGAAAACCGGTTACGACAGCTTGGCGACTCTGCTGGGGACCGGTCAAACTTTTAAAAATCATTATGAATTGTCTCTATTAATTAAAATTAAAAATTCATATATTTAATTTTTAATTTTATCTTTTCAAAATTTTTTATTTACTTATTATTTTCATATATTTATATGTTTTATTTATTTTATTTGCAATTATTTTATTTCATTATTTATTTTTCTGTCAGAGGTATGAACATTTCCTCTCACACAACACGTGCATTGCATAACATAAAGCTCTATAATTGAGTTGTCCCTTTTAAGTGAGAGTGAAAGCGACGTCTTCGTGAAATTATTCTCCGTGTCAGACCTAGCAAGTAACTTTCGAGGTTCATATGCTTTATGTCTTCGTGAGAATTTATTCTCCGTGTCAGGCATAGAGAAATGTATCCCCTCGAATTGAACTCGATCCATTTTAGTCTGTGATGGACTGGGTTGAGGGTTAGCAACCCAAGGGGGCACTAACAAGGACGATTTGAGTACCTTTATTCTTAGATCTGAAACCTTGCATATAAAAAAACCTTAGAAACTCTTCCGATCCAAAGTCATTTTGTCTAAAATAGGTGTACACACAGGAGAAATGAATTCTAACTTTCTAGTTTATTTATTTTACTGATTAAATTACATGTATATTTAAATTTAGAAAAGCATGTTTAAATAAAAAAATATTTATGTAAATGTTATTATTGAATTCTTTATTATGTAAACTAATTTATTTTCTTTTTGTGTGTTCTTTATTTTTCTGTTTGCATAGCATCATACAGGATAAAAGACATTGATCCTTGTGTTAATTGTCTCATTGGAAAGCCTTCATCTATGGATAAAAAGTGTTCAAATCAAATAATTCTAAACTCAGAAGTAAGACAGTGGGCTGAGGACTTACAAAGACAAGAAGGAGACAGTCTGCAGGATGATTATGTATCTGACTTGGCAGTTATGCTCCAGTTTCACTAAAAGAAATGATATGCAAGATTTGCGGAGCATTTGGGAAAGTTGGGATTCAAACAAAAAATTGCAGTTTTATCAGACTTACGGAGACATCCCATATTTGCTCTATGTTAAAGTTGATGATGAATTACTCAGAGCCCTAATTCAATTCTGGAATCCAGGGTACAATTGCTTCACTCTCAATAAAGAAGACTTGGTCCCTACTATTGAAGAGTACACAACTTTGTTACATATCGAAGGGGCTTTGGAGAATCGAATCTATTCAAAGTCAATTAAAACTCAACCCTTTCGAGTTAAATTAGCAAAGATTTCTGGGGTACGAGAAGAATGGGTAGCATCCCGTACAAAACAAAAAGGAGAAAGCGAAGGCATTGCTTGGACCAACATT